AAAGGAGACGGGGCTGAGAGTGGTGAGGCCCATTATCATTCTGGCCCCGAGGCTCTGAGTTTATTGTTCGAACCCCACCCCGCGTTCTCCCAGATTGGCCGAGCTCATACACGTTGTGTGGGGTGGGTCATTGTGCCGTGTGATAAGGATGTTATCTTGATGATGTTGACGACGATGATGACGATGATGATGCTACCTCCGTTGGGATGTTGAGCACTCGATGGAAGCTGGTGGCTTGAGTGTTGTTGATTTTATTCGCCAGGCGGATGCATGATCCCAGTCGCCCGGGCTATTTCACGCGGGAGATCCGCGGTGCCGCTTGAGCAACACTGCACGCGTTGGCTGTGAAGTCCACGCATTTGCTGAGCGCGCTCACTTTCATTACACGCAAAGACAAAGACCCCCCGTAAAGTCTTTAATAGACTGTCGGAGCAAGTGCTGTTAGCGATCACCTGCGATGGCGGGCACTGTGGCAAGCGAGGGGATGGTATGACCGCATCACCACGCCCGACCGCCTTTGTCTCCCCAGTGGCGATGTTTACACACCGCGCCAGTACTAGCTAAAGGCTGATTCGACCTAGGGGACGCACAGGACCGGTTCAAATACTCGTCACCGATGTTCGGCTGTGAGCAGGAACTGAACTCGGTTCGTCGGATCACTGCACCACCGCCCCACACATACGTACACAACACACGCTTATCACACACTCCCATCACACACACACGTATCACACACACACACATTCATACAAACTCGCACACATTAAAACACATACTACAAAGATCCCATGAAACTTGAGAAGATTGTTGGGGCATGACCACCGATTTCAGCTGGCACGGAAACACGACGGCTCTGGCGTCCTCTGTCTCCCAAGCAGTGCTGAAGTTCACGCCGCTGTGCCAGGCACAGTCCACCTTAGCTTGCATGGATCCTACCTCCAGAGATTCCGCCACAACGGAATTCCGCAACCAACCTTTTTTAGCTGTTGCACTTTGATAATGTTGGTGGTGTTGTCGATGCATTGTCCACATACGCGATCAACCAACATTCGTACGGAACCCTGTGAATTGGACCGAACCAATGAAGCTGTGCGGTCTGCTTTGAACCTTGGGTATGCGGGACACCAATCAGACCGGCAAAAAAAGTTAAAGCAGCCGCTCACCCGCGCATTGCGACTGTGGCGATCGAATCCAACACCAGGGGAACACGTACTACGACTAAAACTAAAATATTTGTATTTTATTTTACCAGGTAAGGCTCACTTAACTTTGCAGCTCCTATTCAGAAGCGATCTGGCTATGACAAACGATAGCTGAGCGAGTGGCTTATAATCATGTGGACATTCATAGCAGCCACATTCTCTAAACGCCCCGATGTTGCTTCTAAATATGGAGGGAAAAACCCGGAGGTCCCGGAGTAAAATCGACCGGATCACAGGGAGAGAGAGACACGCAAACTCCAAATATAGAGCAGCAGGCGTCGGGGTCGAGATCGAACCCACGACCTCCTGCGTACCAGGCGAGGTAGTTAACATCTCCGAGCCACCGTGGCGGCCACAACGATGTCTCCTTGGCTCATTCGCCGACCACGCAGCGTCAGGTGATCGAGAACATCACTCCCCTTAGCCCTCAACCGGCTCGCCAGCCTCGAGCTGAACGCATTTATATCCGTTGCTAATCTCCCCGCTGGGCGAAACAAGAAGCGCTGGTTGACCTTCATGCAGGGTACAGAGCACTTTGAATGTTCGCTCGTGCAGCGCTTCGGCATTGATAGGAAAGTGATGAACCTACATATGTGTGTTACTTTCTGGAGCTCTTCAATCGTATCCTGTTTATTTCCATTCGGGTGTTTATATGACCACGCCGTGAGCAAACCTGAGATCGCTAACACCTCCTGCATTCACGTTTACGCCTTAATTGATTTTAATTTGGAACAAAAAATATTTACCATTGGGGAGGCATGGTGGTGCAGTGGTTAGTGCACTAAACTCCAAATACTTATGGACAGCATCAACCCATCTCTTCTCTAGCACGTACTACACCCATTCATCTCCGTTTAACCATCGAAACACCTCCGATTAGCACGGTTGTCTATTCACGGTACGAAAGAAGTTCAATATACATACAATCAGAAGCTACTTGGGCATGAGATGGCTATGATTGTAGGGGTGACATGACCCAGCCACCACAGCCTCGCCTGCCGGAGCAACTCACTGATGGGTCCGCGTCCGGATCTCTTGAAGGATCTTTGAAGTCCTCACACGATCCAATAAACGCAGGAGGGATCGTAGGCAAGCCAACCTGAATGTTTCAAGCCGGTCGCAGGTGTTACTGCTAAGGGGGATTCCACATATCACAGCCACAAAGAATGAGATGGCGTGTGTGGTATGTAGAGTAGTGCTAGGCAAATCTCATGCGGTGGTATGCAGCCGATGCAAAGATAGCTCAACGCGACTGATTGGAAGTGAGACCTATGCTGCCGAACTGCAGCTGGTCATGACGAGGGTCGGGTTAACATCGCGCGTATTTTCTTTGTGCATTACGGGTAACCGCGTTGAACAAAAATCGATGATGCAGGTAAAGCGGGACACTGAAGTCGCGATCCAGAGGTCGCCGGTTCAATTCCATCTCCCGTCGCGGAAAGCTGCGACGATGTTGGTGGTCACATCTCTCAAATCGGTGCGATTCGTGACAACAATCAAACAAAGTTCCAGGTTCGTAACTTTCCCAAGCGGTAATCGGTTCCGGAAAAGAAGAATCGGGGCTACCGGTTCACCGTTTTGCCGTTTAACAAGCCGAATCGTGCACACCCCGTACGAGTCACACACTCACCTGGACTCTCTACAGCTGCTCCACTGGTTCGTGGATAGCTGAGGGTATTCAATGTTCGTGACACGGAGTACCCAGGCAGGCGTTTTGTTTTGGTCGGACTGATGGTAAGACCCCCCCCCCCCCCATCCCACGTAATTTGTAACAAGCTTCAGGCTCAACAACAGAGTCTCCAACTCGTTCTCAGAAATTACCAAGTCATCGGCATATACAACATCAATAACAAACCGCCACTCGCCACGAAGTTACGGTGACAGGCCAGGGGCACTTTGAGGATATCACGCGAAGTGTCCCGAAGGCCCGCTGGCAGGAGGTCACGGGACAGACCCAGGTGCCACGGGTTGACTGACTGAGATGACTGGCAGATGCACCAGCATATACATAGCACGTTTGAACAGGTGAAAGCCATCTCTAGACCCCACCTGGGCATCAAGCAAATTCCCATCTTATGTTTTGTGTGCATGTGGTCATTCGTGATCAGGTTGAAACAATCATCTCACCACCGTTGACGACCCGGTCCAATCACAGACAGCTGGCTGCTTGAAATCCAACCTTAGGATATCACCTGTGGCAGCTCAGCGCTCTGAGATCAGAATAAATGTATTTCAACTGGAGGAATCCGATGAGCTATGAAGCTCTGGTTCACAGATGTCCAGATGACCTCTGAGTCACTCACCGAGCCACCTCCAGTCTAACACACTGCGGGTCTCCTCCCACGCGAATAATAAACACAGGTCGTCATTAATTGGGCTGAATTACATCTTAAAGTAAAACGCAACTTATATAGCAGCAGCAAGACCCTCTTGAAAAAGAGTCACACGACTCAGTGTGACTCTGCTGGATAAATAAATACGTAAATAATAATAAGAATACTTTGTAGTAATAGGTTTTTACCCTTTTAGCTGGCACAAAAAAACTGACACCTTTATACAAGGGATCATGTTTGCAATAACCACAACACAAGCAGTCAAAAATGCAAACAAAAAGAAGCAACTATGATAATGATATGCACTGTCCTTGAATTTGATTTGTCCACACCCGATACGGCTTTTCTTAGAGCCAAGTCTCCACTGGTGTTGGACCAGATGACGCCATAAGGCGTACAACTCAAAAACAGCGCACTATCAGAGTATTGTGAGCTCGGGGTAAGCCTTTACATGATGATACGCTGTTTTTGAGTTTCATAATGTAAAGGCTTACCCCGAGCTCACAATACTCTGATAGTGCGCTGTTTTTGAGTTGTACGCCTTATGGCGTCATCTGGTCCAACACCAGTGGAGACTTGGCTCTAAGAAAAGCCGTATCGGGTGTGGACAAATCAAATTCAAGGACAGTGCATATCATTATCATAGTTGCTTCTTTTTGTTTGCATTTTTGACTGCTTGTGTTGTGGTTATTGCAAACATGATCCCTTGTATAAAGGTGTCAGTTTTTTTGTGCCAGCTAAAAGGGTGACAACCTATTACTATATCTTGTTACTGGCAAATGAGGTCTCGTAAGAATACTTTGTGTTTTTTTTTTATTAAGAAGCACATACACCCATTGAAGCTGCACCAGGCATCTTGAAACCGTTATTATGACAGCATTTAAAGACTAAAGAGTATACATTTAAAGACAGATCGCGACTAAACAATCACATTCGTTAACCGATCGCATTGCGATCACACGTCACATTGGCCGGCTCGTCACGTGACCCCCGCGGTGAGCTTCAACGCGCGGACACGAAACGAGTTCTGGGAGGAAGGGTTCAGATTCCTTCAGCCGGGAGGTATATAGACCCCCTAAGGGGGGGCGGAATTCATATGCCCCGTTGGGGGGGGGGGGGTTAGTCACCCCAAGTGTGGTGTTGGGGCAAGGTGTGATGTGTGCAAGTTTGGAGCAAGTGGTTCGCTGTTTGGAGTGAAGTATGGTGAGATGTGGTGAGATGTGGTGAGGTGTGGTGAGGTGTGGTGGTGAGGTGTGGTGAGGTTTGGTGAGCTGTGGTGAGGTGTGGTGAGCTGTGGTGAGGTGTGGTGAGGTGTGGTGAGATGTGGTGAAGTATGGTGAGATGTGGTGAGATGTGGTGAGGTGTGGTGAGGTGTGGTGGTGAGGTGTGGTGGTGAGGTGTGGTGAGCTGTGGTGAGGTGTGGTGAGGTGTGGTGAGCTGTGGTGAGGTGTGGTGAGGTGTGGTGAGATGTGGTGAAGTGTGGTGAGATGTGGTGAGGTGTGGTGAGGTGTGGTGAGGTGTGGTGATGTCAGGGTGAGTGCTAAAAGTGCCTCTTTGTGTCTCTTCCTTGCGCTGCCCCAGCGTGGCTCACGCCCCCTCCCCCTCCCTCGCCGTGCGTGCACCAGCGGTCATCAGCGGGGAGCAGTGGAGGGAGAGCAGGGGGAGAGCAGGGGGAGAGCAGGGGGAGCAGGGGGAGCAGGTGCCTCAGTCAGACCCCCACCACGCCGGCGCATGTGTGGGGAAGTGTTGGTGGTGGTGGGGGGGTGGGGGGGTGGTGGTTGGTGGTGGTGGTGGGGGGGTGGTTGGTGGTGGTGGTGGTGGGGGGAGTTCACGCGGCCCTGGCGCTACCTCGCCTCCCGCCGCACTCGCACACCTGGTCCAGCGCCATAGTCACTCGCTGCGAGAGTCGCGCGTCGGCCCCTCCGCCGTTCGCCGGCCGCCTGAGCAGGAGCTGCTGCTTGCGGTCCAGCTCGTAGTAGAGGGTGAACTTGTTGACGATCACGGGCACGGGCAGGGCCATCATGAGAACGCCGGAGACGGCGCACAGCGAGCCCACGACCTTGCCCCCCGCCGTTACGGGCGTCATGTCGCCGTATCCCACCGTGGTCATGGTGACGACGGCCCACCAGAAGGACTCGGGGATGCTGCGGAAGGCGGTGTTGGGCTGGTCCGACTCGGCGAAGTAGACGGCGCTCGCGAAGAGCACGACGCCGATGAGGAGGAAGATGAAGAGCACGAGAATCTCGCGGATGCTCGACGTGAGCGTCTTGGCGAGGATGCGCAGCCCCTTGAAGTAGCGCGACAGCTTGAGGATGCGCAGCACGCGCAGCAGGCGGAACACGCGGAAGACGGCGAGCGAGACGGTGTGCTGCCCGTTGACCGAGTCCATGTTGGCCACGTCGATGCCCAGCGTGATGAAGTAGGGCACCACCACCACGATGTCCACCACGTTCATGGGGACCCTGAAGAAGGCCAGCTTGCTGGGACACGACACGTAGCGCAGCACGATCTCCAGGCAGAACCACGCCACGCACACCGTCTCGGTGGTGAACAGCGGCCCGCCCGCGAAAGTCAAAGCGTTGGCCACCGCGGTGCCGTTCCCGCTCGTCCCGTTGCCACCGGTCGAGTTCACGCCGCTAGCGTTCCCCGCCGCCGCGCCGTTCGTCGCGTAGCTCTGCGCGAAGCCGTCGGTCTGAAATCCCGGCAGCGTCCCCACGCAGAACACGACGATGGAGATGAAGACGAAGAGCAGCGACACGATGGAGACGATCTGCGCCAGCACGGAGCTGTCGGGGTGCTCCATGAGCTGCCACAGGATGCGCTGCGCGCGCCGCGTGGGCAGCTCAATCACCTTGAGCGGCAGGTACCCCTCCTCCTCGTGGAAGGAGCTCATCGCCTCGTCGCCCAGGTCGTAGAACTCGAGCTCCTTCACGAAAATGTCGAAGGGCACGTGGAGTGGCCGCTTGAGGACGCCGCCGGACTGGTAGAAGTAGAGCACGGACGGGAAGGTGTCCGGGTGGCGGTCGAGGAAGACCTCCTCGCGTCTCGCCGAGTAGTAGCGGTCGCGCCGGGCGGGGTCGCCCAGCAGGGTGCCGGGGAAGCGCGCCAGCGTGGAACGGTGCGTCTCGAAGTGCAGCCCCGCCACGTTGATGGTCACGCGATCCGCGGGCTCCTTCTCTTCCTGGGGCTTCCCCGCGGAGGCCTCGCACGCGTCCCGAGCGCTCGCCGCCCGCTGCTCGTTGGCTGGACACGGGATCGCCCAGCTCGACAGCGCCGACGGTGCCGGGGCCGTCTGGATGCACATGGAGTAGAGGGGCAGGTCCCCCGGGGAGGGCAGCTCCGAGGATGGTGACCCGAGACCCACGGGTCCCTCGGAGTCCATGGACCCCAACGCCTCGACCGCCTTGGCGTCCAGGGTGCCGATTTGTGGTGCCCTGCGAATGGGGGTGGGGGGGGTCAGAAGTGAGGTTTTTCCAGGTGGACAATGGGGTTAGAGGGGAGGTTCGGGAGAGGGGCGAGGGGGTGGAGGTGTTGATATGACATCCTGGAGGAGTTGTTTTGATTTAATTATCCCTGATCTTGAACCGCCTTGGGTAGGATTTCTCCACTTAATTTAACCAGACCATGCCTCCCTTCTCTTAGATGGAGGCATTTAAAGAGGCAATGAACAGAGAGACTGGCGAGTGTCGCCGTGCGCGGTTTCCCCTTTTCTGACATGCGGCGAAGCTTCTCCAAGCCGGATTCGAGTGGGGGGGGGGGGGGTGTTAGTTAGAGAACTACCAGAAAATTAACGACGTAAATACAAAATGAAATTAATAAAAATCTTCGACGGGAACACTGTGCAGCTATGCGGCGTAGGGGATACGGCGTTCGACACTCGATCCGCATTGTGCATCAGCCTCCCATAATAACGCTCGATGCAAATCGCGCGGTAGTTAAATTCGAGACGAGAAATGTGCGTAAGATGCTCCTGCTCACGGGCGATGACTGCAACCGAGGAATCTCTGCTGTGCACACCGCCGGTTCTCATCTGTGTTCCCATCAAAACAACTTTTGGCGCCTCGGTCATCCACGTGCTCTCTCTCTCTGTGTGTCTCGCCTCTCACGTTATTATTGTAACAACTAAATATATAAACGCCAATTCCTTAAAAAAAATCATTCTAAGCCTTGCGCATCCAATGCACTTTCATTCCTGCACCTCTGCCACGTGCTAACTCGGATTAATTCGACATTCGTGGGTTTTAAGTGGTAGCTGCAAATTTTTTTTATTTGTAGCCCTGTCATTGCTTGTTTACTACACTGCTGGCGGACGGCCCTCGGGGGTATTTGGCCTACTCTTCCATGCTGGCCAGGCGTCTCAAACGGGATGGTAGTACCCACATTTTACCCCGCCACATGGGGACATTTATGTATTTATTAACCTGACAATTGACTGTGGAGGGTGCCCCCAGCAGTCTCTCGCGCTTACCTGGAGAACGAGATCCACGCGTGCTGCCACGTGCGGGTTGGGGATCTGTTGCAGGTGAGGTCCTCGTGGCAGGTGAGGTCCTCGTGACAGGTGAGGTCCTCGTGGCAGGTGAGGTCCTCGTGACAGGTGAGGTCCTCGTGACAGGTGAGGTCCTCGTGACAGGTGAGTTCCTCGTGGCAGGTGAGGTCCTCGTGACAGGTCAGGTCCTCGTGACAGGTGAGGTCCTCGTGGCAGGTGAGTTCCTCGTGGCAGGTGAGGTCCTCGTGACAGGTGAGGTCCTCGTGACAGGTGAGGTCCTCGTGACAGGTGAGTTCCTCGTGGCAGGTGAGTTCCTCGTGGCAGGTGAGGTCCTCGTGACAGGTGAGGTCCTCGTGGCAGGTGAAGTCCTCGTGACAGGTCTTTAAACGTGTGAGCCTCGCGCAGGTGAGTTGTGGCAGGTGCGTTGTGGCAGGTGAGTTGTGGCAGGTGAGTTGTGGCAGGTGAGTTGTGGCAGGTGAGTTGTGGCAGGTGAGCGGGTCCACCGCTTTTAAATCACCGAGTACCGGGACGCCGCCCTCGACATTGAGATGGTAATGACGTCACACTCTGTACTCACCTGAGGGGGGAGGGGTTGGAGTGGGGAGAGCTGGCGGGGGGGGGGCACGGTGGACTGCCCTGCGCACGCCTGAAGCGTTGTGCACGAATCCCGTCATCACAGCTCGCAACTCCGCGGGCTACAAAGCCACCCAAGTGCCCGCGACCCCGAATTTGGGTCTCCTAAGGAATTGAGATCCCTGCGCGTGGAACCTCTCGTCGAGGACCTCTCCCGGGGTAGCGGCTCCCGTGAGCGCATGGGGTTATTTATTTATTCATAAACTCGGCGTTAGTCGCCGCGATATGGCGACACTACGATATATATCGCACGATGTCGACGATAATCGCCGATCTTATTGCAATTGTTTCAGACACATAGCGTGACCCCGTTGCTGGTTTTAAATCTTATGATTCCTGACCAGAAAAATATTTATATTTGTGAACATATGAAAGACGGTGATTACAGTTTTAATTTAAATAGCTGTACAGTATTTCCCATTAAACATGCCTTGTGTGTGCTTGCATCAAACCTTCGACTCCTTACCGCAGCAGTCAGTTTTATTATTTTACTAGCTGTACTACCCGGCTTCGCCCGGGACTTGGATCCACCACGCCCGGCCGCCTTTGTCTCCCCAGTGGCGATGTTGACACACCACACCAGTTACTCGTTTGAGGCTGAGGGCGACTGCCTCCAACTGCCCAGTAGCATCCTTCACGAGCCTCCTCCACAGAGGCCGATCTTGACACCGCTGGTAACAGTCATCGGCAAGTCCACTCAGCTCCACGTCCTCCTGTACCACATCACTCCATCTCTTCTCTAGCCCGTGCCGCGCCCGCTTAGCCCCCTCAATCCGGCCAAACAAAAGCTGTTTCGGCATGCGGTGGCTGGGCATGCGGGCTACATGACCCAGCCATCACAGCCTTGCCTGCCGGAGGAGCTCACCGATGGGACCCTGCCCAGATCTTTCAAGGATTTGTGAGCTCCTCACACAATCCAGTCTGGTTAAACCCAGGATGGATCGTAGGCAGGCCAGCCTAAATGTTTCTAACCGGCGAAGATGTTCCATTAGGGGGGTCCACGTTTCGCAAGCGTAGAGAAGGGAGGGAATGACCGTGGCCGAAAAGACCTGAAGCTTAGTGCGGAGCGACAGACCAGGTAGATTCCACACAGCGTTACGCACCCGATGAAAAGATATTGCCGCTCGACTGATTCGGAGTGAGACCTCTGCTGTTAAACTGGAGCCAGTCATAAGCACACTGCTCAGGTATGGGAAACTCTCCACTCTCTCCACAACTGCCCCATCACCGATTGGGAGTTGTGGGGGTGGAGTGTCCGATGGTACAAAATACCCAGGCAGGTGCTTAGTTTTGGTGGGGCTGATGGTAAGGCCCCATCTCTTAGTGGCACGCTCCAGTCTCAGCAGCAGCGTTTCCAACTCCTCCTCTGACTGAGCAGCTATTACCAAATCATCAGCATACATAACGTGGTTGAGCAATAGGGAGCCATCCCTTGACCGCACCCGGGCATCGATTAGCCTCCCATTATATCTGTACCATATAGAGATTCCCCCGGTACAGCTATTGACAGACACACACACAGCGCGCTAACCACTACACTACAATGCGTTACGCTTCCACACACACACAGACACACACAGACAGACACACACAGACACACACACAGACAGACACACAGACAGACACACACACAGACACACACACAGACACAGACAGACACACACATAGACACACACAGACACAGACAGACACAGACAGACACACACACAGACACAGACAGACACACACACAGACACACACAGCGCGCTAACCATTACACTACAATGCGTTACGCTTCCACACACACAGACACACACACAGACACAGACAGACACACACACAGACACACACACAGACACAGACAGACACACACACAGCGCGCTAACCACTACACTACAATGCGTTACGCTTCCACATGCGAGGGTCACGTGACAGATTTGACGTCCAGCTCACTCGCCGTGCATTGTTGAGCTCCCCCTAAAACTAAAGTTTATTTTTATAATGTGTGCATGGTGTACAGTCTGGAAAGTACCCACATGGCAAATTTCCAGTTTGTTGCATGTCGGGAAGTACGCTAAACATTTTGAACAGACACACATAATCACAACTTTGCCTTTCATATATATGGAGATTTCCTAATTAGCTGCAAGTACGTGCGATATGGCTACTTACAGTGCGAAAGAAGTTCAACACACAAGCGTCATAGATTATAAAGTGGTGCCGATTATTTAAAAAAATAAGGCCTATTGCAGATTTATGCTGAGTGAAACGCAATTGTACTACTGTTAAAGTCAATCTTTATTTTGTCCCGAACTTATGGCAAAAGCACAAAAACATTTATTCAATTACCTGCCAAATATACTTTGAAAACGTTGTGGGAAACTGACATCGCGACAATCGACATACCATGAAAATTCGTATCGTGATAACTCATATCGTATCGTTAACATTTTATATCGCATCTTGAAAACTCGCATCGTGAAAACTCGTTTCGTGAAAACTCATCTTATCGTGAAAACTCTTATCGTGAAAATTAATATCGTGAAAACTCGTATCGTATCGTAAAAAAAAATCGTATACCGTATCGTGAAAACAACGATCGTATCGCGTGAATCCATCGCGGGAGGCCTGGGACGTTGGTCTCAGCGAGAGGCGCGTGGCGTGAAGGAGGCCCGCGGGGGAAGTCGCCCCCTGCGGGCAGAGCCGAGGCTGAGTGGAGCTGTGTGGGGCTGACGGGATGTGTTAAACCACCTTGGTTGCTCAACTAAGGGTCAGGCGCTGTGAGATTCGTAGATCTTTTCCGGAAGCGGCGCGATCGCAAGTGACAGCTCAACGACGAGGAGCCGAATACTCCAAACGCGTGGCGATGTTGATCCTAATTGTGGAGGGGAAAAAACCGGAGGACGCGGAGAAAAATCCACGCGACCGCAGGGTCAGGATCGAACCCACGACCTCCTGTATACCGGGCGAGGTAGTTAACATCTCACCGCAGAGAAAGAGAGGCATCGCAAACTCCACATATACAGCAGACGTCAGGGTCAGGATTGAACCTACGACCTCCTGTATACCGGGCGAGGTAGTTAACATCTCACCGCAGAGAGAGAGAGAGAGAGGCATCGCAAACTCCACATATACAGCAGACGTCAGGGTCAGGATCGAACCTACGACCTCCTGTATACCGGGCGAGGTAGTTAACATCTCACCGCAGAGAGAGAGAGGCATCGCAAACTCCACATATACAGCAGACGTCAGGGTCAGGATCGAACCTACGACCTCCTGTATACCGGGCGAGGTAGTTAACATCTCACCGCAGAGAGAGAGAGGCATCGCAAACTCCACATATACAGCAGACGTCAGGGTCAGGATCGAACCCACGACTTCCTGTACACCAGTTAATATTTCGCCACTACGGTACCTATATATATTTTTATCTCACGTAGAGGAACAGATGTAGGAAGAAAGTGACTAGTCAGCGTACCTTTGCATCGTGCATCATACACAGTCCACAGATGTGCTACTGTAACTTGCTGACCCGCCCATACTTGGACGTCTGTGAAAAAGATCTTCAGAGCTCATCGGATTTCTCCTCCAGTCTAAATAAAGATTCTGATTCTAAACTCAGACCCTTATCTGACGGAAGGCCCTCGCCTACAAACATTTGGCTGTTCACCGGCACTGGTACTATGAGGTCTGACACTGCTGATGGACATTGGATGTCGAAACCAGTTTGCAATTTTTGCTTGTCTTAAATAAATGCTGCTCGTGAGGCAGTCCCCCAGAGGGCCGTGCGTCCGATATGACATCTACAATGATTTATTATTGTACTCTTCACGTGAAGAAACAACGATGGGCGGAAGACATTATTCACATTTGTTAATGACAACCTCCAAAGCGACGCTGAGTGATCATTTGGGGTGCCACGGTGGCTAGAAGATGTTAGCTACCTCGCCTGGTATACAGGAGGTCGTGGGTTCTATCCAGATCCTGACGCCTGCTGCTGCTGTATATTTGGAGTTTGCAGTGTCTCTCTCTCTCATCATCATCACGGTGGCTAGGAGATGTTAGCTACCTCGCCTGGTATACAGGAGGTCGTGGGTTCTATCCAGATCCTGACGCCTGCTGCTGCTGTATATTTGAAGTTTGCGTGTCTCTCTATCTCTCTCTCATCATGATCATCACGGTGGCTAGGAGATGTTAGCTACCTCGCCTGGTATACAGGAGGTCGTGGGTTCTATACAGATCCTGACGCCTGCTGCTGCTGTATATTTGGAGTTTGCGTGTCTATCTCTCTCATCATGATCATCACGGTGGCTCGGAGATGTTAGCTACCTCGCATGATATACAGGAGGTCGTGGGTTCAATCCAGACCCTGACGCCTGCTGCTGCTGTATATTTGGAGTTTGCGTGTCTCTCTATCTCTCTCTCATCATGATCATCACGGTGGCTAGGAGATGTTAGCTACCTCGCCTGGTTTACAGGAGGTCGTGGGTTCTATCCAGACCCTGACGCCTGCTGCTGCTGTATATTTGGAGTTTGCGTGTCTCTCTATCTCTCTCATCATGATCATCACGGTGACTAGGAGATGTTAGCTACCTCGCCTGGTATACAGGAGGTCGTGGGTTCTATTCAGACCCTGACGCCTGCTGCTGATGCTCTATATTTGGAGTTTGCGTGTCTCTCTCCCCGTGATCGCGTAGATTTTTCTCCGGGTCCTCCGGTGTTCCCCTCCGCATTTTGAATCAACATCAGTTTACAGTATTTGGCTGCGATACATTTCCACGTGATAAGATCTAATTTGTGGCCAGGTCGCGTCTGAAAAATAAAGCCAAATAGCTCAGTGGGCCTTTACCTGGTCAAATAAATATGGCTTAGTGTTATCTCAGTTTAGATTTGGTCTTTTGTGTTGCCTGTCCAATCGCCCCGCTGGCTTCCTAGAAGGCAGTGCGCTGGGGTGACACC